CCGGTGACAGCTGCCATCTATTTTATGTAGTACTAAATGCTGCCTTTATATCAGGTTGGTGCATCAATGGCGTGCAAACAGCGGAGATTGCTATAGTTCTATACACCTATCACTATCATGATAAAAGAAGATTATTACCTGTGCTGGTGGATTGGAAAGGATAGTATTGAGGTAAACTATTGTCAGTTGAATAAGAGAATGATTTTGTTTTTCTTCCATTTTGTTAAATTGTGTGCTTTAATCCTTAAGCCCAAACTAATAGTGAGGAAGAGTATATATTCATATTAGTGAATAACATTTATATATTTAGACACTACATTTATATATTTAATACGAAAGACCAAATTTAAAACATTATACGAAAATGTTAAAGAAATTAAAAGACAAAGAAGAAGCAGTTTGACCTTCAAATAGTAAACATGACACCTAAACCAGAATAGAGCCAGTAATTGCTTAATGTAAAGGAAATTTTTGTAATTTTAATTTGTTTTTCCAACTATATGTATTATTATTAGAATGCTGTTTCGGACGGTTTTCCTAGTCTACGAAAATGTGTTTGAAATGTTTTGGTTCTTAAAGTTCGGTTTCTTAAACAATGCTGCTACTACACTATTTTATTAATAGCATTCCCAAATTGTAGATTTATTTTCATGATATAACGGACAAAGTCATTGATAAACTGGTGAGTGATTCTCGACTTTAATGGGCAAACTTACACAGGTTGTTATTGCAATTTTAACTTTTAGGCTATTGTTGGTCATTTAAAATGCAAGCCTTCAGCCTTCTTGGTCTTTTAGCAAGATCTAATGCAGGGTAGAGCTCTTTTCAATTTTGATTTGTGTACTGTTTGCCCAATGTTGATTACAAATCTAACTGAGCTGCTTATTACTTAAGAATGTTGCTGATTACCCAATCATTACTGCCTCCAATCGATAATATTACTTATATAGTTTGAAACTTACATTATGAGCTCGTATCTATCCCGAAGGCGCTCACCACCGCCGTGTTGCGGACTTATGCGGCTGGTCTCAGCCCGATCTATCCGCCCGTCTCTCCGGGGCCACTAGTTAGTTATTATCTCATTGCCTCTGGCTGTCCTCGTTAATATATATATCCCCATAGTTGATTTCTTATTTTACATCAATTAGTTACTGAGGAATTGGATCATCTCAATCTCAATCTCAAGGACTATATATCAACTTTTCCATTATGCAGTCTCGTAATATTACTTATATAGTTGATTTCTTATGCCCAATACTTTATGTTGTTTAAAACTTATTGGGGAAAGTGAAAATCTATCTATGAATTAAAACTTACATGATAACAAGCAACTTATGCGGAAGGTAACATTTTAATAGCACTACAATTTTTCATAGTTCTTTAAATTTATATATTGAAATATTTGTGTATACTTTTCTTTCAGTTGCGGCTTTTTAGATTTTTACAGAGCACACTAGTAGATTGCTCACTCACAATCATTTCCTTACATTAACTACTCACTCACGTTTACCTGGTAATTTTCTTATTTGCTTGACAATCCTTTTGTTATTTTAAATCAATTAATTAAATCCTTTGGTTGTTAATTACTGCTGATTTGTTTTCCTATTCACAATACTTATGGTTCTTTTATTTCCTTGTATTGTATCCTTACTTTGTACCATTGCTGCTCGAATTCTATTGCTTGAATTCTATTGCTTGAAATGGATGTCTTAGTACCCATGAGTTGCGAACATATATTGCAACCATTCATCTTCACACAACTACAAATTGGAGATAATTATTTCAATGAAATAATCACTACATTGAATCAAATTCTTGCTGCTGTGTCTTTCGTGGTTAGTTCTTTTTAATTTTACTGGACTTGGTTATTCTTCGCTTGCTGCATTATAGCTGTGATGCTGCAGACATGTTTCTGTATGAAATCGACTGCGTTGAGGCTTTTGCTTGCTTGCAGATAGATGAAAATGTGATTAAGCTTAGGTGTGATTGCAATATGCATTTGCTTATGCCTCTCACTAATACAGTACTTTCCATCAGCTCATAAATCAACCATTTGTGTATAAAAAATGATTGTCGTATGGTCTCAATCAGTTGTGACCATACGACTGAAATGTAGATAGTTTTTGATTGTAGATAGTTTTAAATGTCAACAAAATTTGCGCGAGATGATTCTAACCCAAACTCATTTAATACTCAAAAACCCATGATTTTACTACTGCTTGCCCAGTTCTGCTCTTTTCGTTTCTGTTCGGAGCTTCAGTTATTTCTTCTTCTAAGTTTTTTTTATATGGTTAGTTCTTTTAAATTTTACGGGACTTTTATCAACGAGCGCCTATCCATATGTGTTACTTCAAACAATTCATTCAAACAATTCTTTGGTGAAGTACATATTTCAAGTTACACTATACTCGTAATATATCACTACAATTTTTCATACTTCTTTTAAATTTTTACTGGGAATTGCTTGTTTAAGACTGAAATAATTGTGTACTTCTTTTAAATTTCTAAACAGCACACTAGTACTAAACTAAGTTCATCTTCTTAGTTGCTTTATTCGGAATTCTCTCTGATTGATCATTGCATAGTTAAATAGAGGTGGTGTTATCTTTTAAGTTCATGCCTTCAAATTTGATCGAAACTGTGTGCCTTAGAATCCAGTGAACCATCGAATTTAGTTTAGGTGTGATCACCTTGTAAATGCAATTTTTGTTTATTTGATTATATAGTCATTGCTTACGTCTCGTAATAACTACTACCTGCTTGTTTTATATTTGGATAATTCCTACATCAATTATGCGGGAAAACCAGTGCCTTACTAACTAGGACATACATACGTACTTTTCATTGCGGACTTATGCTTCAGAAGTTTGTTCTGTGTTCGCAAGGGTGGACAGTGTTTGGCTTGTTCTTTTCTCGGGTACCATGTTGCTGTATCATGCCTGTATGCTGTATCCTTTTCTGCGCATAACACTGTGCGGTGTACTCAATCTATGCAGTAGAGGTTGCTTTTTTATCAAATGTAATTGGAGTATGTTATTTCTGTCGTGGCTAATTTAACCACATTCACGGAAACATAGTAAAGAAATAATACTTTTCATTTCGATGCCCCACGTGAAAATAACTTGTTCAGGGTCACAGCATGGTCTCAACTGCCCTTAATCATGTCCATTACTGTCGACTGAAAGTGCTTTTGTTTGTTAGTTTTTTATTTAATATTACTATTTCTGTTTTGGTGAAACTTAAAATGCCTTTCTATCTTGATAGTACTCTTTTGGTACTTTATCTGCATACTCCTGGCCATTCCATTGGCCCTCACCACCGCCGTGTCACGGAGTCCCCGTCTGTCTCTGCCCCGTCTGTCTCTGCCTTGCCCTCTCTAATCCGTCTCTCCGGGCCACTGGTTCCTTCCATTGATGCCACTAAACAAGTCCACATTAGTTGGGACATCATATATCCCACCCTACCACCTATCAGGCTCGAATACGCTCTCTTGTGTCTTTCTTTCATGGTTACTTCTTGTGTCTTTCGATCATGGTTACTTTCTGTATTTGGTTCTTAAAATTTTACTGTACTTGCTTATGATGTTATAGACTGATTTAGTTTCTGTATGAAATTTCCCAACAAAATGGTGCCTATGTTTGCACTTATGCTGTGCTGTTCAACTACTGTGTGGACTGAAATATTTGTGTATGATTTTCTTTCTAACGGTAACATTTTAAACTACCCATGCGTTTGCTATTATATCCCATTTAACATTTGTTGTTTTAATTTAGGGCTCTTTTGTGCGTTTACTGCTCAAGTAAATTTGTATTTCGTAATGTAAGTTTACTGCTCGTTTGTATTTGGTTTTTATCTTTTCAATCTTCATTCTTCAACTACTATGTCTTTCAATCCCGTCACAGAATTAAATTTTTTCTTTTTTCTGTCATTATAATCTGCATTCATCTTTCATTAATTCAGGAATGGTGTCCTTAACACATAAAACAGAATGGATGCCCCATAGTGAAAGCACAACATATTCCATCCAAATTAGTGCCATACAATGCTGGATCCTGCTCTCAAGTACTTATCTATATTCAAGTAAAAACATCTTTCAAGTTACACTATATGCAACTGTTTTGAATGAAACAAACCTCTATATCTCATCAAATTCTTAGACTGGTATTTACGGCACTTAGGTGAAGTTATAATGTTTGTGTTACTTATTTGACTGAAATGTTTGTGTTTCTTCTCATGAGATACCACTGTTATTCACCGAATGATTCACGGATGTTCAATGCATTTAAATAATTGAAACTGACGAATTGGGATCATCTCAAGGACTATATATCAAGTTATAATGTTTGTTTTTTATTGTACTCTTTTGTTGCATACTCGTGGCATTCCATTTTCCTTCCATGAATATTGAGCTGGAAATTTTCTAAATATAATCAAATATGATCACTTACTCTAGTTCTTTTCTTTTTGTTACTTTGTTTATTTGGGTAACTTTAGTTTATGTATAGCTTGTATGCAGGCTAGGCTTCTACCGTTACCCTTTTGTTTTCCCGTGTAATTTGAATCTTTTTTGCCTTTATTCGTGCAACTGTGGACCGGGGTATGCCCCGTGTATTTGTAATTTGTCTTAGGCCTTTGAGGGGATATCATCGGATGGACTTGCCAATTCACATTCATGTTCGAAAAGGCCTCCATCCACTTGATTATCGAATCAATCCCACTCCAAGTTGTGCTCTTTCCCTGGGGTATGCCCCAGGTTTTCATTGTTTTTTCTGCTTTCTCAAATCGCACACACGCGTTGTATTTCCGGGGTATGCCCGTGTATTTTGTTTATCCGGTCTTGGGTATATATATATATTTACATTTACCCTCAATGGTGGCCAAGTTCATGGACCATGGTGGTCCTTCAGTGATTGGAGAGCAAAGGGGCCGGGTAGGAAGCGGTAAGAAATTGCATCCTGGCACGGGCTGAACGGTGGCCGGGTAGGGGTTTTTCAAATCCGTTGGCGGTAGTCCAGGCTTGCTGCTGGCCCATAGTAGCTAATCCCGTTAGGGTTGGTTCTGGTTCGTTGCTGGTGCTGATCGGGGTTGATGCTATTGGGCTGCTCTGTTTTTTTTATATCGGTCTGTGTGCTGAAGTTTTTGGCCTGTGAGCTGCCTTGTACTACTTATGTTGTTTCTGGACTTAGGCCTGTGTGCCGATATTTGCCTTTGTATTCACGAGTTGGGAAGTGTGTATTATTGCTTTGTAACAGGGCAGTCAATAGCACCCCAGGAGATGTTGCGGTTGTGGTTGCAGCCCGGTCAAATTCATTATAGTGCTGGGACGCTATGGTGCAGCTGGCAGGGAAGTGCTATGGTGCGTGACACGCAAGGTGGCCTTTCCCTTGTCACCCATCTACACGTTTATATGATGGGCTGTGATGCTGACATACTATACTTGATTCTCATTCATTGAGCAAGCGTGCAGTTTACATACTACATACTACTTGGTAGCATTCTTTATTTCTATTATTATTTATTATTTTTATTACTTAGCCTAGTATTTGGTCTAGTGTTAGTGTTATGCTAGCATGGGACTTGGGGGCTGCGCATGTTATAGCCCCGGGGGCTTTCGTCTGTAATCTTTATTTACTCTTTTTCAGATTAGTTAGTTGGATTTAGGCCATGTGGGGTCTAAGTCCTTTCGAACTTTGTATTTGGCTTCGGCCTCTCTTTTTTATTAATAAAGTATGATTTAAAAAAAAAAACCCTAAACCCTAAACCTAAACCCTGTGTATTGATCCGTTCTGTATTAGTCATGTTAGCTTTGACTTAGGCTGTGCCGATATTTCTGTATGTAAAAAAAAAAAATTATATTAAGACGGGAGCATGTGTATTGCTGCTTTTAACAGGGCAGTCAATAGCACCCCAGGAGATGTTGCGGTTGTGGTTGCAGCCCAGTCGGATTGCATCATAGTGCTGGGACGCTATGGTGCAACTGCCAGGGAGGTGCTATGGCGCGTAACTAGTTTTTCTCTTTGTATGGCTTGTTTGCATGGGGCGTGGGGGCTTCTCGTATTGGGGGTTTCTCTTTCTGCTTTATGTTCTCTTTGCCTATCATGCTTCTGCGTGTTGCTGTGTGGTTTACCGGATGTATTCGTGGGTTTCATGCATAGCATACACTCTGAGGTGGGAGTGCTCCTTTAGTCTTGCTTGTATATATTTGCGCTTGTTGGTGGTTGGTGAATTGGCTGGCTGTTTCTATAAGTGGTTGGGAGGGTGTGAGGTGGGCTTCTGGTACTTAGCATATATGCTATTGCTTCTGTGGAGGGCTGTATAGGTTCCCCGCGTAAAATACAGTACGCTATACCGTGGAGCTGGCTTGACGCTTGAGGGTGGTATATATGTTGGCACCAATGGTTAGGGAGCCATCGCTTGGAACTTTGGCCGTTGAAGCCCTCTTCGATAAAGTGCAGAGCTCTGTACGTACGGGGTGGCCTGGGTTCCAAGGGTGGGTGGAGGTGAGTACCATTGCTCATGTGGCGGGCTTTTTACGGCCCCCCGGATAAAATGCAGAGATGTGTACCTGAGGGGATCTGTCCAACGCATGAGGTGGTTTGGGTTTGGCGGCTGGTTTCATTGCTCCTGTGGATGGGGATAGGTTCCCGGATAAAAATGCAGAGCTCTGTACCGCGGGGACCGACCCGCTTGAGGGTGGAATTGGTCCGTCATGGCTTTTGGAGCATCGTTCCACCCTTTGTGTAGGGCATGACGCCCAAGAATTGTCTAGCTTTTCACTCGGTTTCAGGTTGCTTGCATTATGGGTGTTGGGCCCACTTCGTAGTTTAGAGTTTTCTCCTTTACTTGTTGCCTTTTAGGCCCTCATGCTTTATTTGTAGACTTGGTCACTTGCGGCCTGGTCCTTTTTCCTTTGATAGCCTTGGTCACTTTGGGCCTTGGCGAGACTTTGTTCGGTTCTTTTTTTTGTTTATAAATAAGATGAACCTTTTTTGTTAAAAAAAAAAAACCCTAAACCCTAAACCCTAACCCGAAAAGGCCAAAGACCTTTATTGAGCCATAGTCCACTTTTGGGGCTATGGCGTATGCTTGTAGACACTTGGTTTTTTTGGATGGAATAAAATGTACAGTTAAAAAAAAAAAAAAACCCTAACCCTAAAACCTAAACCCTAAACCGTTGGCGGTAGTCCAGGCTTGCTACTGGCCCATAGTAGCTAATCCCGTTAGGGTTGGTTCTGGTTCGTTGCTGGTGCTGATCGGGGGTTGATGCTATTGGCTGCCTTGTTTATATTTGCATTGGCCTGTGTGCCGAAGTTTGGATGTGCGTTCTGTATTAGTCATGTTATCTTTGACTTAGGCCTGTGTGCCGATATTTCTGTATGTTAAAAAAAAAAACTTTATGTTTAGCCGGGAGCATGTGTATTGTTGCTTTTACAGGGCAGTCAATAGCACCCTTGAGATGTTGCGGTTGTGGTTGCAGCCCGGTCGGATTGCATCATAGTGCTGGACGCTATGGTGCAACTGGCAGGGAGGTGCTGTGGCGCGTAACAAGCAAGGTGGTTGTTCCGGTCATCCACCTACACGGTTATATGGTGGTGGGCTGTGGCACTGATGAGCTACATTTGCATTTACATTCTTTCGAGCAGCTGTGCAGTCTACCTTTTACTTAGTAGCTTTTATTAGTATTTTCTCCTAGCATATGGTCTAGTGTTAGCTATATGACTAGCATAGGACTTGGGGCCACGCATGTTATAGCCCGAGGGCCTTCGTTTGTAATTTTTATTTACTTGTTTTTGGGGGTTTAGGCCATGTAGGGTCTAACTCTCCTGGACCTTGTATTGGCTTTATGCCTTTTTGCTTATTAATAAAGTTATCTTTGCCTTAAAAAAAAATGTGCATTATAGTGCTGGGACGCTATGGTGCAGCTGGCGGGAAGTGCTATGGCGCGTGACACGCAAGGTGGCTTTTCCCTTGTCACCCATCTACATGTTTTATATGATGGGTTGTGATGCTGACATACTATACTTGATTCTCATTCATCGAGCAGGCGTGCAGTCTACATACTACATACTACTTGGTAGCATTCTTTTATTATTTTTATTACTTAGCCTAGTATTTGGTCTACTGTTAGTGTTATGCTAGCATGGGGCTTGGGACCGCGCATGTTATAGCCCGGGGGCCTTCGTCTGTAATCTTTATTTATTTTTTTTAGTTTAGATTAGTTAGTAGGATTTAGGGTGGGGTCTAAGTCCTTTCGAACTTTGTATTGGCTTCGGCCTCTCTTTTTCTTTTAATAAAGTATGACTTTATTTAAAGAAAAAAAAAAATCCTAAACCCTAAACCCTAAACCTGACGCTTGAGGGTGGAATTGGTTCGTCATGGCTTTTGGAGCATCGTTCCCCACCCTTTGTGTAGGGCATGACGCCCAGGAATTGTATAGCTTTTCACTCGGTTTCAGGTTGCTTGCTTTATGGGTGTTGGGCCCACTTCGTAGTTTAGAGTTTTCTCCTTTACTTGTTGCCTTTTAGGTCCTCATGCTTTATTTGTAGACTTGGCACTTTTGGGCCTTGTCCTTTTCCTTTGTTAGCCTTGGTCACTTTTGGCCTTATTGAAAATATTATGCTTGTTGGTAAATTTTCTCATGGTAGACCACCCCTATCTGAAATACGGTCCTATTTTGCTAAAACTTTTGTGCTTCGTGGTACAGTTGAAATTGGTCTAATGGACCCTAGACATGTATTTTATGCGGGGGACACTGCTAGGGCTGTATGGAGTTTTTTTATGGGATCGCTCGGCTTGCTGTTCAGTCATCGGGGTCTACGGACGCTCTTGACTGGGTGGAAGCGAGTTGTTTCGCATAACCGTCTTGTTGCTTTTGTTATTTGCAGGTTGCCTTTCTTATCCTTTGGGAGTTATGGAAGCACAGGAACACATGCTTGCATGGCAGAGGGTCGCCCAGTGTATCTCGAGTGTTGTATGGCGTTGCCAAAGGGCAGAATGCCTCTTTAGCGATGGCCGCAGAACACATCTTGCCACCAATTGGTCGGTCATT